GTGGCGGCCGAGACCACCGGTTTCGATGCTAAACAGCTACGGTTACTATACAGGGTGGTCCGAACTGTATCCCGGAAACTTCGGCAACATATTCTGTAGATAAAAATAAGCAAAAAAGTTCGTATAAATGTATGTCCTAAAATGCTTAGTTTCGGAAATACAGGGTGTGGAAGTTTCATTTTTATTTCGATTTTTTCCAAATAATTTCTGAAGTAACGTCAATATTTTGATGAAAATTGACATGAGAAATTTGATTTTGATGTCAATATGATTCCTATTTGTAGAGGGCGCCACCTACATGACAGAAAAACATTTCAAATTTTTAATTTCAGTCTAATAACTATTAAGTCAACATGTTTAATTAATTTATGTCTATGATGATAAGTATTGATAATTTCGATTCCAAATATCTCGAGATACATTACTTGTAACGATTTTACCAAGAGACCTTTTTTGCGTAAAAACGTCGTAAATGTATATTTTTTTACTCAGTAGTTTTATACAGGTACGGACGAAAAATTATTACTTTTCAAACCAGTCAAAAAATATGTAGGTGACGTCCTCTACAAGTAGGAGTCATATTGACCTCAAAATCAAATTTCTCATGTCAAAAGACTCCCAGACACCAATAATTTTCATCCAAATATTGACGTTAGTTACTTCATAAATTATTTGGAAAAAATCGAAACAAAAATGAAATTTCTGCACCCTCTATCTCCAAAACTAAGCATTTTAAAACAATCATTTATACGAACTTTTTTAGTTATTTTTATCTGCCAAAGTTTCCGTAATACAGTTTAGACCACCCTGTATTTATTTAGTTTTTTTTTTCTCAAGGAAGGGCAACGGTAACATCTTATATATCTTGAGTGACTTTGCACTAGTCTCTAGTAGACAAATCAACCCCCAAATTTAATGCTTCTTGAGAAATATATTTTCTTTATTTTATTCTTTCTTTCTTAGTCAATTCACTCTATTTTTTCTCTTATAAACATGCTATTTCATAGAAGGATTTTTCTAACTTTAAGAATCCTATAATCTCCCAATGTAATATCAGCAAAACGAATCACAATTTCCTTTTGACCTTTTCTGTCCAAAGAACACACACCAAATGTAGCGACAAAAACCGTTTAGTTTCTTAACGAAGCGCGGTATTGAAATTCCGGCAAAATGCAACTCCTCCCTCTTCGTCTTTATCTCTTTCTCCTTGTCTCCCAAAGCCCTTGCATCGTGCAGACGATATTGCAGAATGCAAAATATTTTGGCAAATTCTGGGTTAGGGCCGGCTGCCGGATGTCTCGCCCGGAATTGGATATAGAAAGCTTTAAATACAGATCTAATTCCGAAGTAGTCGTCCGATCTATGCAGTAGCGTATCGGGGGAATTGTAGTTTACGTAATCCGGATTTAAAGGACACAACAGAAATTTATCTTGATCAAATTGTAGAAAGGAACTCCTAGATAATGTATTTTTTATTTTTATTATGGTATTGTATAAATTTCATTATAATGGGTGGTCCGAACTGTATTCTGGAATCTTCGGCAACATATTCTGCAGATAAAAATAAGTAAAAAAGTTCGTTAATGTCTTAAAAAAATAATTTCTGAAGTAACGTCAATATTTTGATGAAAATTGGTGTTTGATGGAAATCGATACGAGTAACTATTCTCAAGATATTTAAAATGGAAATAGGTCAATACATGTAATTATTGACAAAAAAATAAACATGTTGAGTTGGTAGTTATTTCACTGAAATTATAAATTTGGGAACATTTTATTTTTTCAAAAAATGATAAAAGAATTTCTGTTAAACTTTTGGCACAAAAACATTTCAAATTTATGATTTCAGTCTAATAACTAATTAGTCAACATGTTTAATTTATGTGAATGATTACAGGTATTGGTAATTTTGATTCCAAATACCTCGAGAACCATTACTTTTAACGAGTTTTACCAAGAGACCTCTTTTACGTAGAAAACGTCGTAAATGTATACTTATTTACTCAGTAGTTTTATACAGGTACGGACGAAAAGTTATTACTTTTCAAACCAGTCAAAAAATATGTAGGTGGCGCCCTCTACAAGTAGGAGTCATATTGACATCAAAATAAAATTTCTCATGTCAAAAAACTCCCAGACACCAATTTTCATCCAAATATTGACGTTACTTCATAAATTATTTGGAAAAAATCTCGAATATAAATATAATATACGTGGCCATACCATAATGCTTCCTCCTTGAAACGGGATACGGGGTTGAGCTGCATTCACGCGTGCTCGTCTTCCAGATACTCTCCAGACCACAGTTCGTCGCGAGTCTGACACTAGGCCTAGTCCTGTTTCATCACTAAACATGACGAAAGGTCCATTTCAATTATGTCCATTTGCTCTTATCTCCTCAGCCCATTGTAGTCGCGTAATTTTGTGCTGTAAATTAAGGTTCGGAACACGTAGAGGCCTCCATAAATGTAATCCTCTGTCATGGAGTCTTCTTGCTATGGTCTTTCTTGAAACATTTACTCCTTCAAGGCGAGCTAACTGATTTTTAATAGCAGTACTAGAACTAGGGATTGCGTCGTACAATTAGGGATATTTGACGGTCTTGCACAGCAGTAGTAACTCTTTTTCTACCTCTTCCAGGCCGGTCTGTAACCTCGTTTGTCTCCCTGATTTTTTTTAATAATTTAACTCCTACAATTTCAGCTATTGCAACTTGCCGGTAGCCCTGTTGAGACAGTGTTACTATTCTGCTTCTATTAAACTGTGAAATAATGTTTCTAGGCATTTTAAAGCCAAAACAATGGTCAAATTTCTTCTGAAACCCAAGAGACCACAAATCGAAATGTTGAGAATTTGTAATAATATTGGGTCTGAACGATAAACATTATTTACCATATCCATTTTAACAAAAATATGTTTATTACAGATTATCAAAGCTACGTATTAAAAAAGATTCTTTAAATTCCGTTCCGTATATTTTTAAACGATATATGCAATAATTTTGGCCATGTGTGTATTTTAATTTTCTAATGTTTCTGTTAAATTTTTAAACGCAAAAATTCTCGGTTGCGCCACTGTTATCCAGAATGTCTAAGAAACAAACTGGAGAAAGGTATTCGGCTCATCCGACGGTGTTGGCAGGAGAGCAGTAAATGCGGTTGCAGGAAGGCTTTTATCTTTATTCCAGATAATCTCATTTAGTGCCTTACTTCGGAGACGATATTAATACTAATATTCTGGCATCTTTCGGCACCAAAGCTACTTTTATAACGGCTTAATAACACTAAAACTAAATATCATCTGTACAAAGCCAGCAACCATGAAAATTATATTTTAAGTGAGTTTTTTTATGTGACCAGATTTTAAGGGAATATAAGTTTTTATATACATTTTTTATATATGAGAGATAAATTCATTGGTTAATTAATTGTTAGTGCAAATAGCTGTGTAACTTTTATTAATAAACGTCTAATAGTAAATGAAGCCAATGATAAGTCATTAAAAATAGAAAAATCGTGATCATAGTATGTTTATTAATACATACAAGATTAGTCGTTCTTTTTTGCAAAAAAGAGATGTTGAAAATCGTTATTTTTTTAATGTTCTTGTATATTTTAGAAAAGTTTCTAGAATCCTGCCTGTCCACCACTAATTTTCCAACGGTAAGTATGCGACTTACCCTGTATAAGAAACTACCCTTTATTTTTAACAAGGAATTATCTATAATATTATTGTACTACAGGGTCCAATAATAGTGCGTCGAGCATCTGTAGCTCCTAGGATAAAATTCTTAGGAATTTTGTTTAAGTGCAAACCTAAAGCACAGATTAGGTATACTATAAGTATACAGATAAAAATCTTGTCCCTAATTCGTGGTACGAAAATTGTTTCTTATGACGATGAGCAAACGAGTAAAATTTCCTGTGCGCAAAAATAAAGTCGCGTTTAAACAGCATAATAACTGGGCCGGTCAGGCGCTGTGCACAATTTTTATAGGCTATAAGTGGGCGTGCTATGTGCGCAAACTAGTAACCTAACTAGTGCGCGACTTCGAAAATTGGAACCACGAAATACAATGCTTTTGACTTTAAAGTATGTGCTAGGACGTATTTCAGGAAAATATTTTAACTTCTATAATATGGCTCAAAAAAGTGTGTAATGAAATCAAAACTACATTAGGTATTTACTTTAGATGGTCTGTACTTACTTTACTATAACTATGGTAGTCGTAAATCATACAGGATGTTCAAAATTCTACGCCAAACTTTCTAAAATATAAAATATTTTTTCTCCATTGTTCTAAAAGGAACACCCTATATATTATGTTTTCAATGGATGGAAAATTAAAAAATGAACATGTTTTGTATTTAAAGTATTTGGAAATTTTTAACGGTTACGCAGATATTCGCGGTTTCACAGTAAATTTGTATCAAAGCCACCCAATGATTTTTTTCTGATATTTTACCGTTAAAAGAGATATATAAAATAATGCTGCGTGTATCCGTGAAACCACTAAAAATTTTGAAATATTTTAAATACAAAAAAATATATTTTTTTAATTCCCCATCTTATAAACTTGACCGTTTTTTAAATAAAAAATATTGTAATATTTGAGGGGTGGTTTCACTTGGAACTGGAATTTCGAAAAATCCTTTCTTATCGAACCTTTACACCCTAGAATCAACCGGTATGCCAAAATTGAGCTTCTTACGTTGAGTGGTTTGAGCAGGATCGTGATTAATCAGTGAGTCAGTCACTTAAGGATTTTATATATTAATATAGATTGATACTGCAAGAATAGATAAGATATTATATAATTAGGGTATAAGATTTTATACTTTAAAGTTTTCGAATTTGTTTTTGAAACACCTTATATAAAAATTCAAATAAATAAAGAAAAGTTACAAAAAAAATCTCTAACATTATTTTTCTTTTTTGCAGCTTTTTCTTACACCAAGAATACCCAATTATTTTATTTTCCTTTTCTATTTCTGTTATAGTTGGAGCACTGACCTAACAGCGAGAGTCACAACCACTTCGGCTCTGGTAGGGCAGCTTTTCATGTCCTTATCAATTTTCGGCTGTCAACAGAACTTCGTTCAGAGATATTGCAGCATGGAATCGCAAAAGAAAGTAACGAAGTGAGTATTGGATTGATATAAATTTCGATTAGTTCTTTGTAGGGATGTTAGAATATAATCATATATCGATATTAATGTTTAATTTTACAAAATAAAATTAGTCTTGCAAAAATATAAGACATATTTTCGAATGTAATACCACAAAATGTTTCGGGATTACCGAATAATACTTTTACCTGACACGAAATGCGTTACCCTTCGGAGTTGTAGTGTTGCCGGTATCGCATTGAGTGTCAGGCGAAAGTATTAGGTAATCCCGAAACATCTAGTTGTATTCAAAAGATTACACAACGAAATAAAGTACATATATCCTTCTTATCTTAAACATGTCGACTTAGCCATTATGGCATTCACACTCCCTTTGAGGGGAACATTCACTCATTCCAGATATTAGATATTAGATTAGATTAGAGGGATTGAGCTCGGTGGGAACCCTTTCTATGTTATAGAGTTCTTGAGGTTTAGATGGGTTACCTAAATACTTTCTAGTTGTTCGCGCGGTCGCTTTTGCATAATGGTTGCTTTTGCATAATTTTATATAAATTTTCGTTGAGCCCCAACTCACTAATATTCTTCTTTAGTTGTTTTGGGTATGTAATGAAAGTAAGCTCAAAGATTCGTTATTTGTTGATCCAATTATTTACATATATCTACTAATCCTCGTCCCCCTTGTGATCGTGGCAAAGTTACTCGTTCAACCGCGCTTTTAGGATCGTGTTTTTGTGCTTTTGTGAGTATAGTTCTGATCTTACATTCAAGGTTTATCACATCGGTTTTACTCCATTTTACTATTCCAAAAGAGTAACCAACCATGGAGCATGCGTATAAGTTAATCGCCTTAAATAGGTTTTTACTATCGAGCTTAGTTTTTACCAGATGTTTAATTCTTTTGGTGCATTCTGCCGTAAGGTTCATTGTCCTATGTTCTATTTTACGGGCCTGCTTTATTCCGAGATACTTATAGGTATCTCTCCATTTTTCATCGTTCGAATTCGTCATGTGCCAATTTACCTCTCACGATATTAAGAATACGACATTTGTTCATTCCAAATCAAACTCATTCCTATATCCTCAGAGAACTCTTCTATTTTCAGCATTTGCTCCAGTTGGTTTTTAGTAGCTCCCATCAGCTTCAAATCATCCATATAAAGTAAATGATTTAGTTTCAAATCTTCTCTAACTTGACTTTTTATACTAAATCCGTATTTGGTGGAGTTTATCTTATTTTTATCTTAAACATTTTATTATTATAATTATTATTAATAACAAAACTACAATTATTATAGTGAAAACTTGAACCATTTGATGAATTATTACCATAGGTTGGAGGTGTTTGAATTTGTGCTTCAGCATTAGAAGTAGATGACGGTGTATTTTCGGCTCTCATTTGCAACAAAATCTTCATTGACGCTGCTCACTGAGCTGGAGATAGGGAGTAACAGAATTTATAGAACTATGACCCGTTATTTTGATTTTGATATACTTCCTGCAGATTAGCGCCTGAACTGCTAAGAGAACTTACTGTTGAAGCTCTGTTAGATTGATTAGTGATTTTTTTATTTTTATTATTTAGGCCGATGCTGATTGCTCCCATTTTTATCCAGTTTCTTATAATGTTAATACCATGGAAAATTATCATTCTGTTTCCATTTCTGATTGACCGTCAAAAATAATCGTTTAGTTTTAATGTTTGCGCCTCTTTTGGACATTAGCTTAAAATATAATCGTACTGAACATAAATCCGGATTTACAAGATTTTTTACAAGCTACTTACTTTCGCAGATTCGACTTACTCCTCCTTGTGCCGTTTTAGTAAATATTGGATTATTCCAGACGACCGGTACTAGCCCCGTTATCATATTTTTCCTCTTTAAAATATTCCAATAGCAAAAAACCGCTTCATTTCCTCTCCATGCTAGTTCGGATGCAGCTATGTGGAAAAATTTCCGTTGAAGTTAAGGCCAATCTAGGGTATTTTTATCCAAACTTAAGGCCATTTTTTCTATTTCCTGCCTCGTCAAAGCTGTGGAACTCTCCTTTCGTGCACCAGGTACTGCCTGCAACTCTTTTCCTTTTGCGTTTCGGGCAAGACGGTCGCTTTGAAAAACATGCCATTGAATGGATCTATGCGGCGATTATATTTTTCAAAATATAGTTCCTGGATCATTTTGGCCGTTTTGTTCCATAAAAGCTTGACCACACCTTCTTTATAATCGCTTCTTTTTTTTCGGGATATTTTCGCAGGATTTTCGCATATTATCCCAACTAGCAAATATAGTTCCCAGTCCTTTTTAAAATGTCACTGTCCCTAAAGTACAGTTCCTGGGCCCACTCTGCCACTTAAAATGTTACTCTATAAGGAATAGTCACTTTGAAGTATAATTCGAGAGTGACCAGTTAGTCCCTACCTACCATAAAACTGGAAAATAAACACCCCGATTGCAAGTCGCAAACATGAAATTTAGAGAAGTGGCTGGAACTACCCGAATCTTCGAATATGACACCATAAAAGACCAAAAACTTTATAGTAACTTTGCAAAGTAGGGGTTACCAACAAGTGCTACCATAATGCCTCCATTAAGTTTTTGTTACTTTATAGTAACAATTTAAGTTACGGAGTAGTCACGGCCACGACACCTAGTTACTTCTAATTTATAGTAGCATTGAAAGTAGCAAAATGGTTACTGCTACCTTCCTAGGTTACTATAAAGTACCCGTCGCTCATCCATTGCCACTAAAAAGTCACGGGGGTCAAAACCGGCTACTTTATAGTGACCGTAACTTAATATACCCTAATAAATGTAATTATCTCAGATTGCATCGTGTGCTGCTCTGTTTTAGTGTTTTCTTTTACTTGCTTTTAAGCTTTATTAAAATTTTGTAAAATCCCTAAGGCGAATAAAAAGAAATTTAGATATTCTAGTACTTTCTACCGAAAAATTAAACAAAAGGAATCACTGCGAGCCGATGCATCAACATCAAAAACAAAAACTACATATTTCTATAATCCTACTGATGAACATTATAAATCAGGTAGTGATTGAGACATTTTTGAAGCTGTTTCTGTAGATGAGTGTAGTGTTAGTTCATCTGAAACTGAATATCAGAGGAGAACTAATTTGAGGACCAACAACAATATAAAAAAAATGTAACTCTGAATAATATAGAAACACTAATAATAGAAAATGCACAATAAGTAAAAAATAACTTCAAAGGACAAGGCGGAACGTCATAGTGGCACCAATGGAATGTATAGTCACCACCACCGCGATCGGTGTAGCAATGCTCCAATTAAGTGGCAATTTGGTGGAGCAGGGAACTTTCTTGGAAAAATCACTTTATGGTTCCAAAGAATCGTTGACCATGTAGTTCCAAAAAAGTTATTGTGTCTATAAAGTCGCTTTTGGATAGCTACAATTGTCACTTTATCAATCCGAAGATTTTAAAGGTCCAAATGGGTAGGGTTGGCCTAATATGTTATTGTTCCCGGTACTTTGTGGAAGCATATGGAACTATAAAGTATTTTTCGGATTAAACGGCCATATTTTTTTCATGAATTTTTAGACGAACAGCCAAATGGCTCAAACATTATGCGATTTTAAGCTAAATATACCTAGATTAAAGCTTTTTTCCTTAGTTATTTTGTTATTTCTGACAGTGGACTAATATTTTAAAATTTGACCCCGGTTTCAAGCAAATTATTATTATTTTTTTAATTACAAACCTGAGTTTCTATTGCAAATAATATAATAATTTGAAATATTTTGAGAAGCGCTCGAAAATTTTGTTATATAAACCCACTATTTTATTCAGTAAAGTTGATTGCGTTCTGGAATTTACCTAAAAAAGGCGTTAAAATCGCACGGTAAATAACAAATACCGAAAAAATAATAATGGCTTCAATAATTATTTTCCATCATGACATTTATTTTTATGAAATGTGAAATTGCATGAAGAGGTCGCTGCGAATAAAGTTCAACAGTTTAACGAAAGTTCCACATGTCGGTGGCTAACACTTGGCTGCCACGAAGCCGCGACTAGGCAGCGTCGTAACGGATAAGTCGCATTCACCAGTAGGCTACTTTATAGTAACACATCATAGTAACTCTTTTAGTAGCAAAAACTACCCAAGACACTACCCGGCTACTCAAAATCTTTCCCCATTTTGGTCGCAGTTACTTAGCAGCTACGAATATACGACGTAGCCGCCGATGGTCACCGCCCACTTTGTAGTGGCTTTGATAGTAGCAGTTACGTGTATCTGCCACTATAAATGCTACTTGGGATATGCCCAATCTTTTAAAATGTTGCACAAATCCTCGTCTGTTGTCGTTTTCTCAATTTTAAAACTTCGTGCAAGGTAAGACTCAGTAAACTGCTTCCATACATATGTGTCTGAACGCTCGGTATTTCTTGGCTTCACATTTTGAATAGCATCGTCCACTTGAGGCAATAAAATTTTTTCCAAATCTTTCTTTTACTATTTTGTAATAAGAATTGATGGGATATTTTGTGGAACTGACAGAAATGACTTAATATTATGAATTAATATTTCAAAAAATGACAATTACAATATGGCCACCAAGCGATAATCACTTAAATGATTATCACTTATTAATCACATCCTTTTATACCGGGTGCGTCTCAAAAGTGGCTCACCCCTATAACTTTTTTATTTTTTTTTAGATAAAAAAAACGATATTTGGTATGTTAGTATATGACATAAATTAGGATTGATTGACATATTCATTTGTTTTCTGTCATTTGCTGTTTCGCCGGAAATGACTACAACGTTTGATTTTTAAATGGCACCCCCGGTATTTTTTTACTTTATTCGATAGAAAATGACATTCTGAATAGAATGACATATTATATGTCAACTTTTGACATTTTTGTTTAAAACAAAATTAAATTTTAAATTTCAATCTAGAGTGCCATGGCTAAACATTAATAGTGTTAAAAACATTAATTTTTAATCAAAAAGCCAAGGAAAGCCTAAA